CGTGTCCTGACTGAAGAAGTAATCTTTTCACAAGGCCTTTAACACTGACCTGATACTGGCTTACACAGGACCTGATATTCAGCTTGCATAGGCAGAATCCAGGTCTCTGAAGCGTACGTTCGAGCGGAAAGGTTCATAGGAAGTGAGTGCAGAGTATGACAATTGTAAGGATCGATGTTCTTCGCTCTGTGGGAGCAGAGATGTCCCGCCGTCCAACCTGGCCCTTTTTCAATGCGAAAGGCCCAAACACGTTTGAATGACAGTCACCTTAATTGGGGCTAATCAATCTGATCCTAGATTTGTATGAGGGTTAAGACGCTCATTCGCAGCGTACAGCATCACTGGGAGAATCCCACCGAGGTCGCAAACGGTCGCTGGACAGGGGATCGTATTGGGCTCTGAGAAGTATTTTCCTAACCATGAGCTGCTAGAAAATTTCCTGGTCGTTGGCTTTTCGCAATGTTTCTGGTTGGCTTTTGATGCCCCTCTTCCGCACGGTCAACGCCAGACGAGTACGGAATTCGGAGAATTTGGGAAAATGGTAGTAAGACTTGGAAAGGGGTGTCGTAGGAGACGAAATTTTTCTGGAGGGAGGGAGTGGCTTCATGCTGGCACTTCAACAGTCCTGATGCTGTACCCTGCTGTACCCCGCGCATTACTTTCTTTCGCTCTCCACTTACGTAGATTGTCTGCTTTGATTGCTTCGCAGTCACAGCCGTCCCATTGTGAAATAGATGTTGAATGCATGGCGCATCCGAGCCAAGCTTCAATCCCATTTCATTTAAGTTCAGCTTACCGTTAGAAATTTTTTTACACCAACCGTAGTCAACGACCGGATACTATAGGCACAGAATTGTTTATTTTACGATGCTGTTTTTATTGTCGTAGCTGTGAATGTTGCCCGAAGCACGTTGACAGCGTGTGATGGGAAGAACTGGTTTGCTGCTTGAACTGTCAGTCGATTGAGCCCGTTATGCGGACCAGCGCTGATACGCTAGGATACCACTTAAGCATACGATCACTGAGAATTCGTCCGCACTATTCATGGGTAGTGGGGTTCAGATCAAGGCACTCCTGCCCTTGAGGAAAAATCTCGCAAAATGCGATCGCCCCTTGAAAAATTTCCTCGGGTTGATTTCCCAGCTTTCGCACCCCCCCCCATTCCTGCCTAACATCTTCCAGGATTCCACCGAATTCCTACTGCTTTCCCCGCCTCACTCGTAAAGCATTATCAGCCGAAAAGCTGGGAGCGGAGGAGTGAGAGTGCGTGTGCGCGTGGTATATACAGGGGGGCCAAAAAAAAGTCATTCCGGCCGAGTCACATATGAGCGAAGTTTTCGCAGCCCAGACAGAGGAAGTGGATATGAGTACCAGGGCGGAAGATACCCAAGATCTTCCTCTATAAGCAGGAGCCGGCTGCCGCCATTCACCTTCATGTACACCAAAATATGAAGTCATCTCCAGTCGCGGCCTGAGTGGAGAACGCCTTGGAATTCACGGGCTGGCCCTCACCAAACAGCCTGTCGAACCTTCTTGAATGGAATCACCATATGGATAGACTACCGTGGAGACCGAGTACTACTTGATCTGGCAGGTACGCCCAAACATTCGAGTAGCTCGCGGCAACGCTGCGCTCAACGGTCCAGAGACAGTCATCTTCAACCACCATTTCAGTCCAAGGCGCGGGTTGATGGTATGGACCGGACGTACCTGGAATGGAAAGACCAATATTTTCTTCGTGGACCCGGACTGAAGGTGAGCGCTGGCGGTTACATGGTGCAGGCAACCTGTGAGAAATATCTCAGCTCCACATTGTGTGGTCGCTCGTACCTTCTTGGAAACTTTGTACTGCTACAGCATCGAGTGCCACCACATGAAATCGAAGGGCGTTGGAAAAACTTTCGCCTACTTGGAATGGAAGAACGTTGAGTACCTGGAAAAGATGGAGTATTTAAGCGGGGGTCCTGAACTAAACCCCCTCAATTACTCGGTTCGGGCGGAGCTCAACAGGGTGGTCTACAGTGGCGGAGAAATCAACGATCTCGCTCAACTCCGGTACCCACTCACTTTCGCGCGGCCGAATCTCTCGATGGCGCTCCTCCAGAAGGCTGTGGCGGAGTATCATTATAGTATTTAATGTGCTCTTTAATATGGTAGTAAAAATGTCCGATAAAAATTTAATAAAGTGTAACTTATAGCGCCTTGAAAGTCATGGAGGCAAAATGACTTTTTTTTTTGGCCCCCCCTGTATACAGTGAAACCAGGAAACAAACGTGGGTGAACGACTGAAAAGCATTTTTCCAGAGGCTGAGCCCCCCCTCATTTCCAGCGACAAAATTCGACCTCCCTCGTCGGGGACAACTCAACGTACAACGTGTCCTTGAGCACAGTTCATAGGCAAGTGTTAACCAGGCGTGAGTATGAAGATGCCAGTAAAGTCAAAAAATCGTCGAAGGCGCTTTAGGTCAGACTCCTTCTTAACTTCGAGCACTGCGCGGGCATGCAGAAACTCTGTGCTGACTAGACGCTAGACAAATAAAGGCCACATGCGAGAAAAGCAGCAGAGCAGGCGTGAGCTTCATGAGCTGGATTATGAGATTGTGGTCCGCCAGCTAGTGCACTTCCGAGCTCCATGAGAAGCGCTCTGAGGCGTTGCCGAAGTCAGGTCACCTCCTTACATAGTGGGCCGAATTATCTTGCGTTGTCATACGAATTGGGTTTTAAGGCGTCCGACGCGCGTGACACAACATGTGTGTCCCCATTTTTCTCTTTGCTGCGTGTATATATTTATTTGGCATTTCTTCTTGTGTTATCGGAGTTATCAGAACACGTTGTCGCCACGAAGTGTGTTCGCGAGAATACGAAATGGAAGTAGAATTAGAGAAGTGGTAGAAAATGGATGGAATATTCTGAGTGAAAAAGGATGAAAATTAATCCGAGATTCTCTCACACGTTCGGTCCGCATGTTTGAAGAAACCATTTCATTTAGCATGAACACCAAATTCAATATCAGTCTAAGTGGTCTACATACCTGAATCTCTGCAGATTTGAGGCAGTGCTTCCGGTTGCGCGGGTGGCCCCATTGGACGGTAGCAGGATATTTCTCTGCTGCTTTTGTGTCCAGACTACAGAAACATCGCGTCATCCATATTTGTCCGAAGTAATGTTTTGTAGTTTTATGCTGAGAATGTAAGTATTGTCGGACTTCTTAAAGCCTTCTCTCATCGCTCACTCGCTTCCCATGAAACGTGTACGAAATCTAATTTTCGATTGAATCCTATTCAGATGGGCACGTTTGGCCTGTGGTCAGCTTATGGAGCAGTAGGACGAACAGTTCGAACACTATTCTTCGTTAGCACTGCAATAATAATTGTGAGTCCGTTGTCCTCTAGAATTCGGGTATGCTTAAATGGCAAAAAAAGCTCTCTACAAAAGGTACAAGCCAGAATGTTGACATCACATTGACAGGGACAACCAGGTGTGTCATGACCCAAAAACCCAGTTTGTGATCAGGACGAGTTCCCCGCCTCCTGATGATCCGGACGAGTTACCCGCCTCCTGTTGCATGGCGTCCTCTGACACATCATAAGACGTCACCAGCAGCGTAATACGCAACCAAATACCAGCAGCTGCACGCTCCGTGGATGAACCACCTATTCGCCGCAACGCGATCTGCGTTGAGCCTGGGTTTGTGCATTACGACGGCCGGCTTTTCGGGAGATCATGCATTTGGACAAGAGAGGCGTTGAGTGAAAAAAACATGTGTTCGCCCTATAGCGTTTGGGAGTGAAGGCCAGCGTTTTCAGCGAACCAGCGTTTCGAGCGAATCGGCGTTCCGTGTAGCGATCGATATCTAAATATACTCTCCTTTTCGCCCGGAACTGGCTGGCGTATCCTCAAAACGTTCAAATGCTGACGCGAAGTATGAACACGTTCTTGTGGCTTCGGCGTCTATCACGCGACGATCCACATAGTGATATTAGTGAAGTCCCAGACCCATAGGTGTTTGGGTGTGGGTCAAGAGATCCGTATTCTGGGCGTCGCAAATAGATTCGCCGCGCTGTCGCAACTTGGACCTCCTGACCTGTTCTCATCTCCAAATATAGAGAGTAGTTGAATTTTGAGAAAAACATGTTATCGAATACCATTTAGGCGTATTCAATTGCCTGCATCGCCTACGGTGCTTGGTTGGCGTCAACGCGAGGGCAATATGCCGAACTTTTGGCTCCATCACTTTATGTGGACGTCGCCAGAATCCTTCTAGTCGTCTCCATACTCACTATTGTCAATGAGCTCATTTGTATATTCTCCGTTGTTAAAGAGCTCCGATTTTGGGTTTATGCAGTAAGTTACCTGATTGTCTCTTGTTCCGTTCTGGTCATAACTGCGGAGTCAGACCCATCATTCTGCCCCCTCACTGGCTCTTCCCTCCTTTTTCAAATGAGAGGACCGCCGCAGCAAAGGTGGAGCAGTGGTTGGCCTGACTCCGCCCACACAATCACCGTGGACTACGCACTCAACTCCGTTGATTTCAGTCCGCGGTGGCATCTGTCATCATATTTATCATGCTATTCGTTGGTGGTATCATGGGTCTAGTGTTCCGATCACAGGTGAGTGAACCATTCTCTGTTTCTCTGGATGCTCTTCAATCACTGAAATAGTTTCATTTTAGCTCACGACTCAAATCCCTTTGCGTTTGAAAATGTTGACGTCATTGAAAGAGCTCTACGGTACAGCCGAAATGCAACAAGTCACGGATGCTTGGGATCAGTTGCAGTCTAATGTAAGTTCGAGCTTAACAACTTAACTCTATGGTACCACAAGGGAAATGAAGTTGAGGCGGGGCTCTTCATCACCATTCAACGTTTTGTAACTCCGAGGCCAAGAGCTGCATTATCCTTTCTTTTCGTTAATAGGAGGCGGAGGTGGTGTAGTGACAAGTGGCGCGCTTACCACTCGCGCGGCGCCGGGTTCGAATCCCGGGTCGACTCCCGCCCAGGCCAACCAAGCCTTCTACCCTCCGGGGACGGTAAATTGGTACCAGATTCGTCTGGGAGGATAAAACACTGACTTGTACATCGGCTGGCCCCGCAAGTCATTGTATAGGCCACATCGCATTCAATAAGCCACTACGATTCTGAATGGAAGTAGAATGCGTGCCGCATCCCACAAAGGGATTGATTGACGGCGAAGACTTTCATCCTTTATACTTTATCCGTTGACAGAGAAGAGGAAGAAATCTTTCGGATTCTACCTATAGAGTGGCATCAAAGCAGTTAAGTGGTTAATGGTGATGTGTAGCTCCGCCTCATTACACATTCTCCGCCCATTTCATTGGAATCACCGACGGTCTAGTGAGGCTAGGTCACTGGGTGTTTGTTTTGACATAGTCGTCATTTTTAATTCAGTTTGAATGCTGTGGCGTCGACGGAACGGACGACTTGCGAGTTTGGCGCGCGTCCAAATGGTACATGCATCAGAAAGTGGTACCAAAAAGTGTCTTGCCTGCTTCGTGGTGAGTTTTTTAACGTTATAGAAAAGGTGACCATAACAGTTCATCCGGACGTTGATATCCCGGATAAACAGCATTCGGAGGTCCTTGTCCCTCCCTAGGCCAACAGACACACCATTCATTTGGAGGCGGTCAGCTGAATAGTAGAGGAAGACAGAAGTCCAATGTTATAAGTAGCGTTACACAAGTTACACTTTGTAGCCCCGAGCAGTGGTGTTTCAAATTGAGTCAGTTGCGCAACATTTCAACCTGATTGACTCGACCATGTGAGTGTCGCAGTATATCGAGTCAACTAGCTAGGATACACTGTACTAGATTGTTGACGTCGTGGAACTCATCCCAGGCGTTCGCGTGGGTCTCGGCGCGATGCCAGCTCCTTTTGCACCATTCGCTGAACGCCCGTAGCTGCAACGAGCGATGGAAAATAAGGTTGGCGCTCCGGCTTCAACCCACGCAATGCTGCCACGCCCCTCACTGAATTCAGTGAAAACAGCGGCATAAAGTTTCCCAGAAGTCTTGTATAGCTTCCATGGCGTAGTCTACCTTTTCAGCTGTGTTCCGGGAAAAGTAAACGAGTGTCGATCTGGGGACCTGAAAGCTCCAAACAATGCAACCACCTACACCGCTACCTGCTACATGCCTTTACGGACGGACTTGCTTTACGTGGTGAACGTAGCCGCATGGATGGCCATTGTGGGCAGTGTTGTACAGGTTTGTCACTTTAGCTCAAATCTGGCTCGAGCCTGATGGGGGGGGGCGTTACTGTACACACATTCGTCACTGAGCTCATTTGGGCGTAGTTTGGCTCGGTGGAGGGCACCGAATGGTACCAGCTCAACTTGTACAGGCATCCCTAAAATTAAGCTGTTCTTGTAATCAAAAGGGAATACTCGAAACATTTCGCAGCATCACAGAAGTTTACGGGTCTCAACGGAATAGTACCTGTTAGTTAACGTGAAATAACAAAAGGCTCCAGTGGAAGTGCAAAATGCACCCTCCGAGCCGATGCACCGCCCTCAGTTGTATGTTCTCCGGTGTAAAGTGCCTCAGATTTTGGATTTTGGGTTGATTTAGGGTATTCATGTTAATGAACAACCTATTAAATAATTGATCTCTAAATTTAATTTCAGCTGATCCCTGCAATACTGAGCTCGTTCTACGCAAGGTTAATCAAGAAGTGAGGAAGGCTCTCATAAATAGAACGTATAATTTCATGTGCAATTGATTCGTGTACATCATAGAGTATTACATTTACGTGGACAGATTTTCACTTTCAAGTCATTTTTTGCTTTTACAAAATTATAATTAGCGTGAATGCGTTGGGAAATCCACGTGGCGGGAAAAAACGCATGGCTCGAGCGCAGCGTTTCGCTCTCACACCGGGACCGAAGTAAGTGGATGTAGTGTGGCACAGACGTTGTCCCTACAAACGAAAAGGCATGAGAGGTTACGGGGCCTCTGTCAACCGGACGTGCTCTCGCTGGGAGGATCCAAAGGTCTTTTTCAATCGAATCTACTGGCCCAGTAGTTGAACGAAAAGTAAGAGGGAAGAGAGAAGAGAATAAAAGAAGGAAGGAGGGAGGTAGGCTTTGACCCGTATCCTGAGACGGTTCAGGAACACAGTCACGGCAGCATTTTCCACCAGTTGTTACGGGTCCAGGATGGCACACACGTGGAAGAGGATGGCTGCCCTCCAATCCATGCCCCCTCATACGACCTCACGTTTGCAGGGCTAACGACTGTGCATCGGGGAATGATTCGCCGTTTTACATGAGCTTTCGCAATGTGGATATCCCAAACGATACTCCTGTCCCGAGTGGACGCGGATTTGACTGCCTAGATATAAGCACATTCCACGATAGCCTAGATGTCGGTAGTTGACCCCAAAGCATCGTGGTTGTCCCTCAGCAGAGTATTAAAACCGGAAATCCCAGATTAGACAAGAGTGCCCTATTTCTCACAACAGATTTCGGGCAGTACAGGGGTTCAGGAGACGTAATGGACTTCTGGATGAAAGGAGAAGGATGATCAAAGGAGGAGAGCGATGAGGGACATGTCCATCTCATGCAGTCCGAGACGGAGACTACGCTCCATATCCTGAAGATGGGTGAGGCGTGGCTGCGGGACTCATTTTAACGTGGCATGGGATTTTTCTGGGGTTCTATCTACTTAATACTGTCCTAGGATGCAGCACACACCAAACGCAGCCCTGCCACGATCAGTTGCAGTACGTAGCCACGCCCTTCCCTTTGCTGGGGTACGGAATGCATTTCCATAGGTAGGCGATGATCAACGGCTTAGGCCTCACAATCAGTCCACTAATTTCACTTTTGAGCCCCATGGTCGACACAGACTCCTTAACTAAGTACCGGTTTTCCTTTCTCATTGCGAGGGGGAGGGATCGCCCCCTTTGCAATCAATTCGTGGAATGTGCCCTCAATGCTTTTCCGCTTGCAAGTGCTATAACTGTATGTTGTATACATTGAACTTTTTTTATGCTCAGACTTATTTGACAGCGAATTTCCGATTTTGTGTTATAACCTTGCCCTGAAATGAGAGATGAATAAAGATGCAAATTTTCAATTGTTATTATATATGCTTGGGGGGGGACAAAAAAAAGACATTTGGCCGAGTCACATATCAGTAAAACTTACGCAGCCCAGACAGAAGACGTGGATACGAGTACCAGGAAGATACCCAAGATGTTCCTCGATAAGCAGGAGCAGGCTCTCGCCCATCACCTTCATGTACACCAAAATATGAAGTCATCTCCAGTCGCAGCTGACTGGAGAAGACCTTTGGAATTCATGTCACCTCCAAACAGCTGCGAAACTTCTTGTATGGAGTCACCCATGGACAGCTACCTGGAGACCAGCACTCTTGATCTGGAGACCTCCAACATCGAGCAGCTCCGACAACGTCGCTACGGTCCAGGATATCATCTTCACCGCAGTCGCCAAGGCGCGGGTTGATGGTATGGACTGGAAGTTCCTGGAATGGGAAGACCGATATTTTCTTCGTGGACCCGGACTGGAAGTGAGCGCTGACGGTTACATCGGCCAACTCGAGGAGAATATCCTGCCTTCATGTCGTCGCCTGTACCATCTTGGAACCTTCGTACTGCTACCCCTTTTGTTTCTCTCTGCATTTATTCTTCTTTTCATTTCTGACTGTATCGGATTTTCAGTACACTGTAATGCTGTATAGTACAGATGCGTAGGCAAAGGTGATTCGGTGACAGGTTCACCACTCAGAAGGTGGTCCGGGAGCCAACTCCCGCAGGTCAAGCTAGCTGTTCATGCTTCCGAGGCAGAGAACGACACCGGTTGTAAAAAACGCCTTAGAGGGGGGGTCGTAAACTGGGAGGTGGGCAGAGGAGTCGTACATGCCCTCGGGAAATTTTTTTATAGTTGATTGATTTCCGTTTCAGGTTCAGAGCAGGATTCCAACAGGTCGTATTGGTCGGTAAGGGATGGAGGGTCGAAACTATTTCCGCGCTGCGTGAACACTCTTCCCCTTGTAGGATCCACCCCATCCCCCGCTCGGCGGCAGATTTTATGGAGAAATTGGAAAGAGATAACATAGAGGTATGTTGCGAAGGGAGTTGCCCGTAAGAAGAAACTTGAGGTGGAAGGGCGTGTTTATCAAGAATTTCACAAAGTGCCCTGTTACTAGTTGATTCAGAGTCGGTTCGAAAGGTGCGCGGCGCATCCAAAAGGCTATTGGATATTCATGCTACAGTATGATACTGCCTTTGGACGATATCTCATCAACATCGCGAAACAAATAAATATTTATCAATAACATTAAATAATAAGCGAAATTCGAGACAAAAAAAACATGTATCACTCCTTTCATATTGCAACAATCTTCGTTATATAAAATCGATGTTGCACGGAAGCAATTGCGGAGGGTGAAGGGGCAGGACCAACGAGTTGTACGTGAACATTTGTAACGATGATGAGCGCGGGAGGAGCGAGGCAGTCACAACCTTTACGTGGACAAAAAACCAGCAGCTGATAGGGTCATATTTGTGGAGTACTCTGTGTGTGGAGATAGGAATGCGGCTAGTCTAATGAGATCATCAAAGGAGGTACACAGAGGGATCAAAATCGATGACTATGTATTGCAAATTTGGGAGATTTTGGGGAATTTGGACAAGGGCGTTAAATTCGCTTTCAAAGTGAGAATTGCCTATAAGGAAAATCCTGGTAATCAACGACGTCGTTTCTCCACATATTTGCACGTCGCACAACATTTCTGACGAACCTCACCAGAGTCGCACCTGAAAGGAAACGATTGCGAAATGGGCGGAGCTTAACTCTCAGAAGTCACGCCCAGGTTTGTACGAGTCGCCATGCCTATGACCACATGCGGTGAAAAATTAAAGGAAATATAAAACTAAGAAGGAAAACCTACGAGTGGAACACTTTGATAATATCACAGTAGCGCGAGTTGTCTTCGCAAGATTCATCTGAAAGGGGTTGGCATGACGGAAGGAAAAGTTCATGCAGGTTCAGGGAAACATTTCCTTTACGGCAACACTTTTCTCTGCAGGACTCACCTTGTTGTAGTGGGAGGGCAGTAGGAGTACAAGGAGGAAGCGAACCAGCAAGCGGACAAGAACGAGCTGCTGGTGGACGTCGTCCTTCGCAGTTTCGTCCAGCTGCAGCACGACTCGCTGACCATACACAGGATAATAGCCGAAGCTGAAGCACAGATCATCCTGAGCCCTCAAAGCCTACAGAAATCCAGAGTCACCCACCTGTACCCCTCCTGTGCCACAGTTCGATGAGCACGAGCCCCAGTCAGATGCATGCCATTCCGCTTTACAGCTTGCTGAACATAATGCAGTTGAGGGCGGTTATTCACTGGCTAGAGAGGGGTAACCCACGATTTTCGCATTCCTTGCGCGTTTTCGGTCTCTGCGTCTTGTCACAACTCTCATCACTCACAGCTTCTCCGCTGGATGTCAGACATCTCACATGACGACGCTGTTTTGCAATGCCATTTCGTTGGCAAGGAGCAGATGAGCACTGAAATGTAAAAGCTGGTAGGATGAACTATTTTTGGAACAGCGGTATGCGCATGCGCTAACGAGGGGGTTTCTCGAGGCCTGGGGTTTTCTGAAAAAAGACCAGCGTTTTCAAGTGGAGGAATTTGGCTTTCACGCTTTCGCCCCTTGAAAATGCGTGGCGCGTAGGGGAGAGGTATGGGTATAAATTGCAGTCGTCAGTCCCAACACTTTAAAGGGCGTGTGACGAGGGGTGGACTGAAGAGCAGCTCGGGCAGCCTTCCCCACCAATTGTAGCGGGATCAGGATCACATCATTGGTGTAAGGAGCCTCTGGACGCGCTACGGTCCACACCCACGCGCTCTCGTTAGCAGGGATCATGTGCCACCCTTCATATACGACCCCCCTTCCGAATGGGGACGCAGCCACGACGCCACCCCCCCCCCCCCTTTTTTTCCCCGTTGGTACGACCCCCCCCCTCAGCTCGACCGGCTCTTTCGCCGACTGACGAGCGATGAGTATATAGTCGGCGAAAAAGTCGTCGAGCGGGGGGGGTATACAATAACTATGCAACGTATATCCGGCGGGTGTACAGGGTGCATATAACACAAAAAATTAATACGAATTAATACGACCCCCTTTTTCCACAAGAAAAAATCAACTATCAAAATAAATTTGTCTTACCCCAAATACGACCCCCTCCCCAGCGGAAAAGTACGACCCCCTGTGTTCACACAACGATGCTGTACCCTGCCCACACCTACGCGCTCTCGTTAGCAGGGATCATGTGCCACCCTTCATATACGGGTCATACTGTATGAAGCAGCGTTCAGACTTCGCCATGACGCTCGTCGGCGCGCTACAACTGCAGCAGCGCTCCAAAGCTGTAGACACGAACGCAGCCGCAGACGGGAATCGATGAGTGCTGGCCTTTCACACTTCAAGAGAGTATGGGGGAATAGCATGGCACTTGCACCTACTCACAGAGACTGGTATCAATCTGCTCTGGCCTCTTGCGACCGCGTTAGCGTCCACAGCTACGGAGCGCTGTTGAAATTGTTAGGCGCCGACGGGCATCATCGCGAAGTCTGAACGCTGTGTTGGCGTTCTACACCAATCAATATCATTTTGAACCTTCACAGGATCGGAAGGCCCAGCTAGGCCACTTAATTTTTCGTCCACATAAGAACCTTGACTCTGCGAGCTCAAGTTGACGCGAGTTGACCACCCTTGAGTTGGCATAAATTGTGAGAAAAGGGAAAAAAAGCAATCACATCATTGCATGATTGAAATCTGGATTCCAGAAACTCCTGCATAATGGAAGTGAATGAGTGCCTATTGGTCACAAAAAAGCTCGCGCCTAGTGCTAATTCTCACGCATTGAGCGGAAAAAATGAGGGAGAGCATTAGACGAGAACTACCCAAATCTTGACGATCAGCGATTAGTACAAAATAAGCCCTCTGAAAAGGCCAAATCCCTACACTAAACTAACCTCTGTCCAGTCGCTTGCATCCCATCGTGGGCATTCTTCTTTATGACAGGGTCTTGTCTCAGGTGGACGGGATGAAGCTAAAGCAGTGCACAGCCGTGGATCACCTGTTCGACGCACTCCGTCTACCATCACGCTGCAGGTCACTTCTCGTGCCTAAATAAATATAGATAAGATGCCAGTCTTCAGTTCCACTAGAAAATAGCGTAGCCCCTACCTGGTAACCGGCAACTCCACAAGTGACTTGTTTACAATCTGTCCAGTGACCCATCTCCCAACGAGCCTGAATTGTATCACGGTGTTTCTGCAGTTCTCTAGCCATTTCGGAGTAGCTTCCGGCAGAAAGAATAGCCTAAAATTAAAGTATTGTTGAAGATCGAGGCTCACCATACGCT